AGCATTCACTGCTGGTACAACTGGATGTGATGTTCTTGAAAGTGCAGGAGCTCCTTCTGGCAGCTGTGACTTTTGCTCCTGTCTCACTGCTTGTTTAGATACAAACTGTGAAATCTATTGAATTGGTGGCTTGTCTCAAAGTTCTCTTGGATGAATTTAAATCCTCACGTGTGTCTGATATACTGAGCGAGACAAAGGGAATAGCAAAGAGACCTGAAATGTACCTTTGCATTGAAGGAGGAGGAGGCTCCGTCCTCACTTGGATACCGAGCAGAGGAAGATCAAAGTGAGCTGTTTCAGGTTTAAGTACAGTTACAAAACTTCCCCTTACTCAGGCCCATTGCTTTTGGTCCCCTGGGTTATTTCTCACAGCTACCATAATGCTGCAAATCTGCCCCCATAGGTGACCAAGTAAGGTCCCCCATATCTCAAAGCCCCCTGCCTTCAGGTGCCTGCCCTGAGCCTCCCACACTCTGCCCCGACTCCTGCACCCCAACCGCCTGCACTAACACCCCCCACCTTAAAGTCCTCTTCCCTGAATCCTGCACTCCCACACTTTGACCTCAGCCCTCCCAAACTGAGCCCCTCACACCCAACCCTCTACACTGAGCATCCCCAAACCTCTCAGCCTTCTGCCCTGACTCCTGCACCCCACTCCCTGCCCCAAACGCCCAACCCCTACCTTGACTCTAGCACCACTGCACTGAGCCCCCCATATCTCCCAGACCCTTGACCTGACTTCTCACCTCCATGTCCTGCCCCGAGCCCTCCCACTCCATCCAGCCCCTGTCTTGACTCCTGCCCCCACCTTCTCCTCTACGCTCCATCCCCTGCCCAGACTCCTGTACCCTCCAATTCCTGCTCTGAGCCCGCCGCCACACCCAACCTCCTGCACTGACTCCTGCACCCCCACCGTCTGCTCAGAGCCTCATCATTGAAAGAAAGCATGTATCTTTTCCTTTTCACTCCTGAAACCCTAAGCTTTACTCCTGTTAAGGCCTCAAGCAATGCTGGGTACATTTGCTAAGAAGGGAACAGCCGGGCTCAGCTGTAATTTTCAGACATTCCACTGGTGAACACTGCCAAGGCCTGGTTGTTGGGCTTTCTGTTGCCAATGTTCATTAGAGAGGCACCATGCCACACCGTAGGGAAGGTAGAGCTGAACCAGAGCTCATGACGCCCAATATATAGGAGGGAAAAGATCCACATGGTTGATCTGACCCTAACAGCAGTGAGGCTAATGCAAACTGCGGTAGAGTTCCCTACCTCCATCGCATTCACATTCCCCCAAACACCCTTATAGCTTGACACGGTTTCTGACACCATCGACGCATTCCCAGCCATCTTAGGAAGGCTCCAAGGGCTCCTTCCCCTGTGTATTTAGTGTTTACAGTGGAAATTCTTCCACTTTAGGACTGCTGATTGGTCGGCTCAGACCTTCAAGGGAACTTGTTCAAAGAGCAGGGCTGGTCACCATCCAGCTCTTTTGGGATCTATTCACAGGGTGGAAAAGCCCAGGCACTATGGAGATGAGCTGAGCAAAGACTAGGACAGCTGGAGCTGATATTTGCTTTTCCCTTCCAGATCCCATTACCAGTCCCACAGTCTGTAGAAAAGAGCTGGATGGTAAGCACAGTGTCAAGAGGGGGAAGGGGGATGGTTCCATGCAGGACCTCAAGGGTCGGATTTTACATTTAAGGAAAGTGAAAAAACGTCCTATTACCAAAAGGACGGCTCCTAATGGATAAAAATTCCAAGTCAATTGAGAAATTCAGCAGAGAAAGTAAAAAGACCCAAAAACTTTCCGTGGACCAAGAAGTCATTGAATATCCTCTTCTTGACCACTTCCAGTTCCCATTTCAAGATGACACTGACACTCGGATCCCGAGCAGAGGAAGACCAGAGTGCCCTGCTTTCAACTCTAAATAGAGTTACAGAAATTCCACCCAGGGTCATTTCTCACAGCTGGAACAGTGAGAGGACTCTTGACCCCCCACTGGAATTGTGGGAAAGCACCCGGATTGCAGGAAAGAGAAGGGACAGAGTTAGCTGCCACCCCCATTGTTCTCAGAGTCCTGCCAGCGCCACTCCCAACTTAGCAAACTTCTTACACTCTGGGTCTGTTCCTATCTATCAGGACCATCCACCTCGCCCCTCACACCAGTCCCCAAAGTCTGTTGCTTAGAGGTGAGCAGCAGGCAGAGCAGTTTCATCCTGGGTCAGTGTTTGTGGGGCTCACGGCTCAGACAGAAGAGAAACTCGTTTGTAGATGCAGCTTACGAACAATTCGGAGTTTGACACTTGCCTCGCTCACAGACTGGCACAGGTGGATCCCACGTCTGATCTGTCTGGCACCGGCTCACCCGGTGACCCTTCATGGTGTAGCCAGGATCACACTCAAAGGTCACGCTGTCCTTATACGAATAGACACGGCGCTCGCCAGGTTCTCGTCTTCCATTCTCAATCTGTGGGGCTGGGCATCTAACCTCTGCAATAGAAATGCTTTTGCTGAACCGCGGGGCCAGATAGGAAGGCTGTGCCGCTAACCTCTGCAATAGAAATGCTTTGGCTGACCCGCGGGGCCAGATAGGAAGACAGACATTTCTGCAGCCCTCCAGCCTTTGTCAGCCTTTCAACCCATGTCACTTGTTGCACCAGCCTGTGTTATTCCTCTTTGAAAATACAGATTGTTGTGGGCTATGTGGGGGGCTGCTCTGAGAGGCGGAGATACTCTGGTAAGCGATATGTGCACTGCCCCAGTGCAGTTCGTATTCATGTAACAATTCCACTGGGTCAGTGGCATGAAGGAGACGGCCCAGAGAGGGGATTCCTTGGTCTAGATGCAGCAATTCTTCCCAACCGTCCACAGAGGCTGCACGCAAAATAACTCTTCACAAAGTAGCCTCTGTTCATTGCACACACCGCTCCCGTACCATCCAAACACTCGAAGCAGAACAAGCGCACACACAACACAACCAGCACACACGGTGAGCCCTGTCACATAGCCCCACACCGCAGCACAGATTTTTCAGTCACTACTTGCACAAATCAACACACAGATCCATGTCACACATGCTCACCATGACACTGCATTCGGGTTTCTTAGAGCCATGGCCACTGAGCGAAGAGTAGCTAGGAGAGCGCACTGGATATGCAATACACAAACTTCCACTCACCACCTCTCTTCTGTTCCCCAGTTCTACCCCTGTGTGGCTCGGGTTAGAGACCTTCAACAGCCTTCCTACACCCTTGGGACTATCCCGGTTCTGCACACGGGGCTGCTCTAGAGGTGCACTCAACGATACTGGTTTCCCATTGAACTCTTCACGTCTGCTCTAAAACTATTCACTCTAACGTGCGTCGTGGAAATCTTGTGGAGACGTTGCACAAGGCAGGAAGTCGAAGTACCGGGATTTAACTGCATCTTCACACTGGGGGATTTCTTAGACTTTCTATCCATGACAAAGCAGAGCTGGGAGGGTTGCACTAATACAAACCCCACCTCCACAGCGAGGGGCAGGTTGACGCCACACTCCGTTTAGTCCGTCCTCGGTTGTGCATAAAAGAGAGGCCTCTCCAGTTGTCGGGTAACCGTTATCACATGTGTAAGTTACAGCTGACCCATAATAGAATTCATCCATTAAATCCCCATTGTGCTTTCCATTGGGAATATGTGGAGGGGGTTTACACGGAATACCTGGAGAGACACAGGAGGAGTGAATTGAGAATCAAACAGTCACTCCCCGGAGTCTGTGGTACCTGAGATCTCTCACCGAAGATGCACACCTGTCCTATGTTACAATGCCAGTCCTATATTAAACTAAATAATGGGCTATGAACAAGGTAAGAGAAACAAGAGAGTTGTTTAGAGTTAAAGGAGGAACACATACAGAGAGAAATGAGTTACAATTTTAAGTTTCAAAAGATGACACGAGCTTCTGTAATACGCAAGCTGTATGTGTCCTTTTGAGGGCTACCCTGGATGGTCAGAGGTCTACAGGTCTTCCTTGTTGAGCGCGGAATGCCATGTGTTGACGTAAATTAGCATTTTCCACTGGGTAATGCTGCTCTCCTGAGACTGAGGGTTGAGTGTTGTAGAGCAACTGCTTTTTATATTTCCATACCCAACACTGAAATATGGCTTTATAACATGGGATACAGATTTATACATGGGAGGAAAGCATGCAGCAACATCAGAGAATTGCATCAAGTATAAACACTTGGTTGTAACTGACCATCTATTTTAACAACCCTAACACACAGGTGAATCAGACAGGTTCCCAGCTTTGTATTTGTCAGTATTTCCTGAGGCGTGATGCTCTTGGCATGAGCTACGAGCATCTGACGTGTTACACGTTTTGCTTGGTGCCTTTTTTCTGCTACTCAATCGGCAAAGAAAGACGGAGTTCTTATGGTCAGGGACTTCCTGTGCCTCATTTCCCACTCTGGAAAGCAGGGATCATAATGCTTCCCTTAAGTTACATTTGCATGGCAAGCAGAAAAGAGGGGAAAGCACACAGACCGAGATTTGTAACCTACTTACGCTCACAAAAGGGCATTTCCCCACTCCACGCGACACGCATTCCAGAAATCACACATCGTCGGGAAGACTCTCCAATCAACCGGTGCCTGCAAATAGGCAGAGGGGTTATCAGTTGTTACCTGCTCCTCTGTTGTTTGAATTCTCCTGCAGAGTTTAGGTATTTGGGACGCGCTTCTCCCCAGCTACAGCAAGTAGAGACCAACACCACTGACTGCTGGTGTAAAGGCTCCTTCACCTTTTTAGAACTCCTGGCCTGCCTGGATATGCATACTTCAAATATTCTTTGTGAAAATTAGGGCATATAACCTGTCCTTGGAGAGCTTGTAATCCTCTGAATGTGTATATCCTATTTCTGTGTAGGTATCCGTCTTGTATATGAAGTTAGAATTATGAAGTATAAGCCCATTTATATCTGTATATGAGCTAATAGTGGAGATTAGGAGTACTCTAGGAAACTAACGGCCCGCTGCTCAGAACAATGATCTTTGAATAGTCAGTTTTCCTGTATGCCTGAATTGTGGTAGGTCCCACAAAGACAGGTGACCATGCACCTGGTGCTGGGTCCATGCTGAATTTTGTACTTTATCACACAGCTAGGGAGATGGAATCTCTATTTCCTGTGCTGGATAAATGCTATTTAAGGAATGGGAAGCAATGATTGTCTTCAACTGGCATCACAGACTTCTCCCCACCCCAGGAGGATACAGGAAAACCCCTGGAAACAGAGGGCATCTAAGAAGAGCGGGGAGAATTTGCTAGGCCCAATCCAGAAAGATGAGCTCTGGCCTGGAAAAGACTTTACCTGAAATAAGAAGTAGGGTGAGAAGTTATGATTCATAACAACTTCTCTTGGTTTGTTAGTCTTAACGGAGGGTTTTGTTAAGTCATTTACTAGATATTTGCTCTATTTGTTGTCACTTGCAGCTGGTGATGAAAGGGAGGAACATCTTATGAGCTACGCTGTACAAACCGGATGCTTAGTGAGATGGATTTATTTGGAGTTTTGCTCCCATGGGGCTCTGCACCAGAGTGTTGTGCCAAGTTCCCATGACTGAGCCTTCTAGGGGCTGAATTGCTCTCAGTGTCTCTGTTGCTCTGCTGCGGGCTGTGACCCCAACTCTGTGCCCTTGTGGGGAAGACCAGAGCTTCAGGATCAGCAGGACTGGGTGGTGGGCCATGGTCCCCAAATGTATTCCATCCCTGTGCAGATTTTCTCCATCAATCTGCAGAATAAATGTATTTATGTGCACCAAGGCATTTGTGAAATTGCATCGCCAGTAGAAACAAAAATCAGGCTGCGGGCACACTGCTAACCAACGGCCCGGCATTTTATCTCTCCTGAGCAGCCACACAAGCACACAGCTACGGGGAACACAGAGGGTGGGGTGCCCCACGGGGAAGTTAGGTGGCCTCAGTGCTGTGATCAGCTCCCCAGGTGACCCAACCCATCACACCTACTCTCCACAGAAGACGTCTCTCCTCACCCAGCACTTGCAGGCAGAACATTCAGTTGGCCGAAACGGCAACTAAAGAGTGTACTATAAATGGGAGCGTGTGAGAGAATGCAAGGGAAGAGGAAAGAGGGAGGTTTATATCAATCAATCTGTTCTCGCACATTGATCCTAGAATCAGGAACTAGGGGAGTACGGGGATTTCTCTTTCTGTTGCATAGCTGCAAGCTAGGCCCAAGTAGTGAGCTCAGGCAGTCAGAAACATACCCTTCCTCACACGAGAAGTTGACCATTGACCCAAACAGTATATCTGTGACATTCATTCTGCCGTTCTCCAGCTCTCCTGGATGACCGCACGATTTCCCTGGTAGAGGACAAGAGGAGAATTACGTTTTGCTCTTTCTAAGCCACAGTTATCCCAAGGCGCTGTCCATATCAAACACTCTGCAGAAAAGATCTCATTTAGAAGGGCCCACAGTGGGCAACGACACAGAGTTTTACTGGTCATTATTAACTATTTAAACATGGGTTACATTTTGTAGCGTGGCTGCAAGTGCCATTAGGAGCTTTAGGGAACAGCAGAAACAAGTAGCATGTAGACACTCACTGTTACAGAACTCGAGTGGTTCTGACCACGTTCCATTTGGAAGGCATGTAATAGTGGGTCGAATACCAGGGTATCTAGTGTATCCAGGCCGGCAAGTATAGTTTGCAGTCTCCCCAACAGGAAAGTAGGACTGATTTCTATACTCGCTCCTGAGCTCAGCAAAGCTTAACCTTGTGGGGACACCACAGCCAACTTGCAAGAACACAGAAACACACGTGAGAAAAAACAGGGTGATGGGAAGAATATTTCAGTGATAAACGGAACACTTCGAAGAAGAGCTTAAAATGGGCTGATTTACAGGATAGGGGAAAAGGCCCAGGGTGCCTGTATTCTGCAAAACCAACTATCGTTTTAGGGATGCAACACATAGAAAGAAGATGAAAAACCATTGACCTAGATTCCCTTTAACCCCGGAACTCAAATGGTCCCACCCTTCTACTTTACTGTCCCTGGAAAACTCCCCTGTCTCCCTTGAGGATCTCGAGTGCAATTTGTTGAGAGATGCATGAGTCCTGCAGAACTGTGTTTCCATTCACACCTTTAGGCTGCTCAGCGAGACAGATACATGTCTGTCAGGAGGGCTGGCAGGACGCAGGGGACCAGCTATCACAGTGATGAAGACATCAGGAGACTGGGAGGAGAGGCAGGGGGATATCTGTATTTTCCACATTCACAGCTGAAAACCGACCCCAGGACACAGATGGAGACTATATTTTAGCCTCCAGGCACTCCCCTGCCGGATCTACCCCTCTGATACTTACCAGGTTGTATGCAGACTGGAACCGGGGGATCCCAGGTTGCATCATCTCCGCACTCAATCTGCCTGCTGCCATCCAGGGTGAAGCCAGGATCACATTTAAAACTCACCCTGTCCCTGGGTTTGTAGACAGGGCCACGTCCATCTACTAGCTGTCCATGCTGGATTTCTGGGGCCACGCACAGGACCTCTGAAAGGGTGCAGAAGGCATCAGCTTACCTGGCTAGCAGAGCTGTTCAGTGGGTGCTCGGCACCTCTGCTCTGCACTGGCTGCGTCCCAGTGCTAGGTTGCCTAAAATCATCTTTCCGGTGGCATTGTACGGTTGGGATCCTGGGGACCAGAGGCTCCTGGTGTTTCCTCTCTGACATAGAGAGTGCAGGGCTGGCAGATAAGCTCCCTGCACTTGGTACCAATCAGTAAAGGCTTGTTGGTTTTTAGGACACACTCTGCAAATCTGCCCTGCTCACTCAGCGTGTGACCCTGGTGGGAATCGATGGCTGAGGCTTGTGAGTCTGTCCGCATGCTGGAGGGGAACGTGGGGATCAGATGCTAGTTTTTGTAATTCACAACCCGGGTGCCTATGGAGTCAGACAGATACTTTTTTCAAATATTTCCCTCCTCTGTGTGTGGGTTCGCATAGGGCCGCAAGGGCTACAGTACGGCCCACGGGCCCCCGCACGCTGACCCCAGATTTTCAGCAGTCAGAGGAGCACATGGCCCCCGCACCTGCTCTGAGACTCATGCAGGGGCATGGAAGGAAGGGAGCCTGTCTGAGAAACCTGCTGGGATGCTGGCCAGGAGTCATCTAGGTTAAACGTCTCCCATCCACAGCTTGTCTATGGCAACTTAGCCCCTTAGCAACTTCGCTTAACAGCCTCGCCTCTTAGCAACTTCGTGGGTTAGACATGCAGTGTACATCCAGTACCTTTATTTTCCAAAGCATTTATTTTGCCATGTGTGTACGTAAATGGAGCTTTAATTCCCTACTCTGAATTCTGTCCCACTAGTCAGTTTATCTTTCAAGTGAAATCCTATGGAAGAAATTTCTTCCTCTTAGCGCTAACTAACAGAACATAAACAGACCTTCACACCGAGGGGCCGCAGGGCTCCATGTTCCAGCTGCTGTACAGTGAATAGATGCATGCCCGGTAAGGGAATAGCCGGGCTCACAGCTGTAATTTACAGACACTCCACTGCTGAATACTGCCAGGGCCTGGCTGTCGGGCTTCCCGTTGGTGATGAGTGGAGGGGAGGGGCAGTGCAGCACTGTAGGAAAAGAAGCAGAGCTCATGAAGGCTAATCTGTAGCAGGGAATAGAACCACATGCTTGTAATGAGTCAAGCCCAACACAACTGCAGTGAGATATGCCAAACGTTACCCACTTCCATTCCCCTCCAACTCATGAATAACTCTCCCCACCGTTCCCACACACACACCCTGGTCACTGTTCCTAACTCCACGGACACATTCCCAGCCATCTTAAGAAGGCTGCAAAGGCTGCTGCCCCTGTGTATTCAGGGTTGTAAATGTTGCTACTTTGGAACTATTGATTGGTGGGCTAAGGCCTTCCCTAGGGTCCCTTAGCGGTTGGGGGGGCTTTAGAGGGCAGGGCTGGCCAGGACCATTCAGATCCCATTTCCAATCCCACAGTCTGTTTGTCATTCGTGCTCACTCCTGCCACATCTTATTGGTCCCAGTGGGGGGAAAGATAACGGACACTCAAAGCCGTAGCCACACTCACCTTTTTCACAGATGGGCACAGGAGGATCCCAGCTCCCATCACTCTGGCACCGAGGCCGAGAGCTCCCACGCAAGGTGTAACCAGGCTCGCATTCCAACACCGCGACGTCTCCAGGGCTGTAGGGGGCCAGCGCCCCATTCGTTCTGCCGTTCTCCAGTTCCGGGCTCATGCATGTCACTGAAAGGGGAAGCGTCACAGCCGCTTTAGACTCCAAAACATACGTGGGATGGAATGAACGATTTACCCCCAGAGCCATGTCCATGGATGAGTCTTTTGCTTCAACCTCATCTGTATTTCTCGAGTATCACTTCCTCTAAGCACCTTTATCCATTCCTTCGGCAGGAACGTTACCCCTCTGCAAGCACAGAACCATTCACCGCTGGTACAAGTGGATACAATGCTCATGAAAACAGAGAAGCTCCTTCTCGCAGCAGTGACTGTTGCTCGTGCATCTCACTGGTGGTTTAGACCCAAACTGTGAAATCTCCTGAATTAGTGGTTCGACGGAAACTTCTCTTGGACTCTGTGATGGGGTGCTTACACCCCGGATTTTGGTTAGGGGGAGTGCTGCCCTTTCGGGTGAAAGTACCTCGGTGTGTCGGCCTGCTGCACTTGCTCCTAGGACTCAGAGGCAAATCCACCTCCTTTTAGGACCTGGGGAGGGCATCAGCTAGCAGTGAAAGTTTGCGGCCGGGGGCATTTACACCAGCATTCCCCCTGCAGGATCTTTAAGTGTCCCCGGACTGCCAGGGAAAGGGGGAGATTCGGGAGGAGGACCACTCGGCGTGAAGGCGGAGAGGGTGCAGAAGCACACCTGAAGCGAGTCCGTCCACTGACCCCTAGCAAGACTCGCCTGACAAGAGATGCTGAGTGGGCCAGAGGAGTCAACATCCCTGTTCAGGGCAGGCCAGGACTCTTCAGACCTGCCTAAGGGAGGGGAAATGCTAGCGGTAGCAGAGGGGATAGGTCATCCCCAGGCTAAGGACCCTCGGCCAGGTAGGGGTTCCATAGAGATCGAGGCAGAGGGGATCACTAGTCCAAGCCGAAAGATCCTCACTCCAGCCATCGCTGAGGCGTTCATCTCGACAGAGTCTCCTGGCTGTGTCCCCAACTCCAGTGACGGAGAGCGACTCCAGATAGGCAGCCACTGCTTGGAAGAAAGTGACCCAGGGCGGGAATACTTGCGTTACCCCATGGGGGTTGGTGAGTTTTGGCTCATCCCCACCAACCCGGGCAGTGGACCATTTCCTTGCCCTTAGGATACTGGGTTGGGACTCGGTGGAGAGGGAAGGCCCGGGTTCCCTTACCCCAACCCGTGGGCCAACCCTCCCACTGACTCGCTCCAGCAGGACCCTGTTGTTGGGCTTGAGCCAAGAAGGCTGTACACCTGTGAATGAGAGACACTCGTCTGTGGAGGAGTTAACAAACATATGGACAAGGGGGATCCAGAAGATATAGTATACTTAGATTTCCAGAAAGCCTTGAACAAGGTCCCTCAACCAAAGGCTCTTGTGTAAATTAAATTGTCGTGAGATAAGAGGGAAGGTCCTTTCATGGACTGAGAACTGGTTAAGAGACAAAAATCAAAGGGTAAGAATAAATGGTAAATTTTCAGAATGGAGAGGTGTAACTAGTGGTGTCCTCCAAGGGTCAGTCCTTGGATCAATCCTGTTCAACTTATTCATAAAGAATCTCTAGAAAAAGGGGTAAGCAGTGAGGTGGCGAAGTTTGTGGACGATACTAAGCTGTTTAAGATAGTCAAGACCGAACTGAGTGATTGGGCAAATTAAAGTTCATGTGGATAATTGAAAAGGAATGCACATTGGAAAAAAGGACCCCAACTATACATACACTATGATGGGAGCTAATTTAGCTACAACTAATCAGGAAAGAGATCTTGGAGTTATTTTGGATAGTTCTCTGAAAACGTCCACGCAGTGGGCACTCATAAAAGCAAATAGGATGCTAGGAATTATTAAAAAAGGGATAGAAAATAAGACGAAGAATATCTTACTGCCCCTAAATAAAATTATAGTACACCCACATCCTGAATACTGCGTTCAGATGTGGTTTCCTCACCTCAAAAATGATATTTTGGCATTAGAAATGGTTAAGAAAAGAGCAACTATAATGATTAGGGGTTTCGAATGGGTCCCATATGAGGAGAGGCTAAAGAGACTGGGACTTTTCAGTTTAGAAAAGAGGAGACTGAGAGGGGATATGATAGCGGTCTATAAAATCATGAGTGGTGTGGCGAGGATGAATAGCGAAAAGTTATTTACTTGTTCCCATAATATAAGAACTAGAGGACACCAAATGAAATTAATGGGTAGCAGATTTTAAACTAATTAAAGAAAGTTCTTCACACAGTGCACAGTCCACCTGCAGAACTTTCCAGAGGAGGCTGTGAAGGCTAGGACTATAAGAGAGTTTAAAAAATATTTATAAATTAAAGATATTTATAAATTCATGGAGGTTAGGTCCATAAAAGGCTATTAGCCAGGGGGTAAGGAATGATGTCACTGTCCTCTGTTTGTCAAAGGCTGGAGAAGGATGGCAGGAGACAAATTGCTAGATCACTGTCTTCGGTCCACCCCTTCTGGGGTGCCTGGCACCGGCCATTTTCGCCAGACAGGATACCGGGCTAGACGGACCTTTGGTCTGACCCAGTACGGCCATTCTTATGTTCATATGTTCTTATGACTTTAAAGAGAAGCTAGATAATTTCATGGAGGTTAGGTCTATAAAAGGCTATTAGCCAGGGGATAAAATGGTGTCCCTGTCCTCTGTTTGTCAAAGGCTGGAGAAGGATGGCAGGAGACAAATTGCTAGATCACTGTCTTCGGTCCACCCCTTCTGGGGTGCCTGGCACCGGCCATTTTCGCATAGACGGACCTTTGGTCTGACCCAGTACGGCCATTCTTATGTTCATATGTTCTTATGACTTTAACCGAGAAGGCTGTACACCTGTGAATTGGAGTCACTTACCTATGGACTTGAGGCAAGAAGGCTGTGTACTTGTTAATTAAGGATCTGTTTTGGTGGACCTTAGCCTGGAAAGCTGTGTTTCTGTTGATCTGAGACCCACACCGGGGAATCGTTTAAAGATGGGACACTCGGCTATTAAGCACAGGAAGATCCAATAGGGTAAAATACAACGGACACTCAAAGCTGTAGCCACACTCACCTCTTTCACAGATGGGGACAGGAGGATCCCAGCTACCATCGTTTTGGCACCAAAGTCGAGAACTCCCACGCAAGGTGTAACCAGGCTCACATTCCAACACTGCGACGTCTCCAGGGCCGTAGCGGGCCAGCGCCCCATTCGTTTTGCCGTTCTGCAGTTCTGGTTTCACGCATGTCACTGAAAGGGGAAGCGTAACCACCGCTTTAGACCTCAAAACGCACATGACATGGAATAGACCCTTTACCCACAGAGCGATCTCTGTTGATAAGTCTTTTGCTTCAACCCCATCTGTATTACTCGAGTATCACTTTCTCTAGTCACCATTATCCACTCCTTTAGCAGGAACAGTACCCCTCTGCACTGACAGAAATGTTCACCGCTGGGAGAGGTGCATTGCGATGCTCCTGAAGTTCAAGGAGCTCTTTTATGTCAGCTGATTGGTTGTTAATCAGAAAGTTCTCTTGCACTCCATTTAAATCCTCACGTGTGTCTGTCACACGGAGCAAGGCAATACAAAGGAAACTGAAATGCACCTTTACACCGAGGGAGGGAAAGCTCCAAGCTCCCGATGCCTCACAAGGAAATGACACCTCCCAAACAAGGGAGTGCACAGAATCACAATGGTAATTGAGAAACATCCAATAGCAAGAAAAAAATCCGGCTCCTTTTTAAGCATCTGTAACTGGACACGCAATTTGGGCCCATTAGTGTGCAGCTGGCACTACCAGCCCATTGCTTTTTTCACTCTCCTCCTTACTGCATTGTAGAAATCAGCTTGATTGCAAGACAAGTGTCAAGGGGGGAAAAGGGGATGGTTCTCTGTATGAACTAAAGGCCGAACTCTACATTCAATGGAAGAGTGGCAACTGTGTCTAACGACCAGAAGGACTTCTCACACTTGATAAAAAATTCTAGTTAACTGTGACATTTAGCAGAGGAAACGGAATTACCCACAAATCCTGCAGGGGGCCAAGATGTTCTTGAACATCCTCTTCTCAATCACTTCCAGTGCCCATTTCAAGATGGGCCAGACACTTGGCAACTGAGCAGAGGCGGATCCAATGGGGTGAAATACAACGGACACTCAAAGCCGTAGCCACACTCACCTCTTTCACAGATGGGGACAGGAGGATCCCAGCTACCATCGTTTTGGCACCGAGGCCGAGAGCTGCCTCGCAAGGTGTAACCAGGCTCGCATTCCAACACCGCGACGTCTCCAGGGCCGTAGGGGGCCAGAGCCCCATTTGTTATGCTGTGCTCCAGTTCTGGGCTCACGCATGTCACTGAAAGGGGAAGCGTAACAACCGCTTTAGACTCCAAAGCGCACATGGGATGTGGAATAGACCCTTTACCCACAGTGCCTTGTCCGTTGCTGAGGCTTTTTTGGTTGAACTTCATCTGTATTTCTCGAGTGCCATAATTTATAGAACCATCCTCCTCTAGTACAAGTGGATGTGATGCTCCTTAATTTTATTTGCAATAAACGAGGGAAATACAACTTATATTGGGATCCTATAACATGTGAGTAAAACTGGCTGGAAAACTATTGTCAGAGAGTAGTTATTAATGGTTCACAATAGTACTGGAAATGCATAACAACTGGTGTTCCCCAGATGTCTGTTTTGGGACCGGTTCTGTTCAGTATCTTTATCAACTATTTAGATATTGGCATAGAATACACGCTCATTAAGTTTGTAGATGATTCGAAGCTGGGATGGGTTGCAAGTGCTTGGGATGAGAGGGTCATAATTCAAAATCATCTGGATAAACTGGAGAAATAATCTGAGGTGAATAGGATGAAGTTTAATAAGGAGAAATGCAAAGTACTCCATTTAGGAAGGAACAATTTGTTTCACACATACAGAAGCGACTGTCTAGGAAGGAGTACTGCAGGAAGTGATCGAGGGGTCATAATGGACCACAAGCTACATATGAGTCAACAGTCTGATGCTGTTTGGAAAAAAAGCAAACCTGATTCTGGGATTCATTAACAGGAGTGTTGTGAGGAAGGCATGAGAAGTCATTCTTCCATTCTACTCTGCACTGATTTGGCCTCAGTTGGATTATTGTGTCCAGTTCTGGGCACCACATTTCAAGAAAGATGTGTAGAAATTGTAGAAGAGCAACAAGAATGATTAAAGTTCTAGAGAACATGAGCTATGAGGCAAGGCTGAAGGAACTAGGCTTGCTTAGTTTGGAAAGGAGAATACTGAGAGGGGACATGATAGTGATTTTCAGGTATCTAAAAGGTGTCCCAGGGAGGAGGGAGGGAAATTGTTGTCCATGGCCTCCAATGATAGGACAATGAGAAATGAGCTTAAATTGCAGCAAACAAGGGAGGTTTAGGTTGAACATTTGGGAAAACTTTCTAACTGTGAGGGTGGTTAAGCACTGGAATAATTTGCTTAGGGAAATTGTGGAATCTCCATTGCTGGAGATATTTAAGAGCAGGTGAGACAGACATCTACCAGGGATGGTCTAGATCAGGGGTGGGCATAATTTTTGACAGGGGGCCACTCCAAGAATTTGGAAAGTGGTCTAGGGCCGCATTCTTCCATGATATGAATGGAGATGCGGGATCTGGGATGGAGGTTGGGTGCTGAAGAGAGCTTGGGGTAAGGGACTGGAGTGCAGGAGGGAGAATGGAATCTGGGAGGGAGTTGGGATAAAGCAGGCAATTGTGACCCAGGGCAGAGGACTGGAGGGCAGGGATTTGAAGGGATAAGAAGGGATTGTGATCTGGGGCAGGAGATTGGGGTGCCAGATATGGGAAGGGGTATGGGTGCAGGTTGGTGGGGGGGGGGGCAGAGAGTTGGAGCAGGGAGGAGCTGGGGTGCCAGAAGCAGGCTCTGGCCAAGAGACTTACTTGCAAGCTGCCAAACTAGCCTGCCTGCCTGCAGAGCTTAAAATGTTTCCTACCTGCCTGCCTGGCCATGAGCTTCATGAATAACTGAGCTGAGGAGAGGAAGCATAGTTCTTCTTGGCTGCCTGTTATTCAAACAAGCAGCTCTCATTGGCCGATTTCTGGCCAGAAACCGGCCAATGAGATTGTGCTGGGGGTAGGGCAGCTCCTAAAACTTCCCACCTCCCCTCCAGTTTCTGCTCGGTACTCTGGGCTGCAGGGGAATCTGGGGAACCTGCCTGGGGCTCCCTGCTGTCTCCATGGGCTGGATCTGGGGGCTTGACGGACTGGATCCGACCCATGGGCCATCCATATTTTATCCAGGCCTGGTCTAGATGGTACTGGGTCCTGCTGTGAGGACAGGGGACTGGACTCGATGACCTCTCGAGGTCCTTTCCAGTTTTCTTGTTCTATGATTCGATTAAGTTCAAGGAGCTGTTTTTAACAGCTCAACTGGTGGCTGGACTCAAAGTGCTCTTGGAGTCAATTTAAATCCCCATGTGTGTCTGACACGCAGAGCAAGGTAAAGGGAAGAAGCAAAGAAAATAGAAAGGCATCTTTACACAGAGGGAGGGAAAGCCCCAAGGTCCAGATGCCTTACAAGGAAATGATGCCTCCCAAATAAGGGAGTAGCCAAAATCACAATGGTAATTTAGAGACATTCACCAGGAAGAAAAAAAAAATCAGGCTCCTTTTTAAGCATCTGTAATTGGACACCCAATCTGGGCCATTAGTGTGCAGCCAGCAATACCAGCCCATGGCTTTTTACAATCTTTTACTCATTGGCAATACTCTCCCTCTTACTGCATTGTAAAAATAAGCTTGATTGCAAGACAAGAGTGAAGGGAGAGACAAGGGGATTTCTCCACGCAGAAACTAAATGGCCGTACTCCACATACAGAGGAGGAGTGAAAAGTGGATCTAATTACTGGAGAGATTGCTCATAATGGAGAAAATTTCCAATTTAATTGAGAAATTCAGCAGAGGAAGTGGAAGGATCGAAACACCTGCGGTGGTCCAAGAAGTTACTGAATATCCTCTTCTCAATCACTTCCAGTTCCTATTTCAAGATGGGACAGACATTCAGATGCCGAGCAGAGCAAGATCAAAGTGCCTTGCTTTCAACTCGAGAGTTACAGAAATTCCTCTCAAGCAGCCCCATTGCTTTTGCCATCCTGGGTCATTTCTCACAGCTGTTGCAGTTCAAGAAATCATGACCCCACATGCATCGTGGAAAAGCACCAGATTGCAGCATAGAAAAGGGACAAAATTATTCACCTGACTTTCCCCTCTGTGCTCAGAACCCTGCCAGCACCACCTCCAATATAGTGCACTTCCTATCCCCGGCATCTGTTGCTATCAGGACCATCCATCTCGCCCCTCACACCAGTCTCCAAAGTCTGTTGATTTGAGGTGAGCAGCAGGCAGGTCAGATCCATCCTGGGTTAGTGTATGTGGAGCTCATGGATCAGACAGAAAGGAAACTAATTTCTAGATGCAGTATATGAACAAATTGGAGTTTTGACACTTGCCTCGCTCACAGACTGGCACAGGTGGATCCCACGTCTGATCTGTCTGGCACCGGCTCACCCTGTGACCCTTCATGGTGTAGCCAGGATCGCACTCAAAGGTCACGCTGTCCTTATACGAATAGACACGTCTATCTGCGGGTTCTCTTCTTCCATTCAGGATGTGTGGGGCAGGGCACCTAACCTCTGAAATATAAATGCTTTCGCTGAAACACAGGGCCAGACAGGAAGACAGAAATCTCTGCAGCCTTTTTTAGATTTTCAAGCCATGTCACTTGTGCACTAGCCTGTGTTATTCCTCCTCAGATTGTGGTGGGAAACGTGGAGGGGTACCCTGAGAGGGGGAGATGGAGATACCCTGGGAACAGAGTAGTTCCCTGCAGAGCAACTTATCAAAGGTTATCTCCTTTGGAGCATCCTGTGCACCAATCTCTAATTTATGGCAGCAACCCAGAGTAAAGCCAAGAAGCTCAGTCCTACAAGAACCTTCATAGCCATCAACATCCAGCACTGAAGGAGCTCAGCAATCTGCACAGTCAGGCCCAAGACGCATCAGGAGGCCTCTGGACCCAGCAACGTACTTAGTCTTTGTTAGAGTTAGAAGTGGCAGCATCTTTCAGACCGCACACTCCACATCTTCAAAGACAAAACTGCCTGAGTCTGGCAGTCATTTCTCTCAAGGTTCTCTTTCTTCCTATAATACCGTGGTCCCCAACACGGTGCCCGCGGGCACCATGGTGCCCGCGGGGGCATTTGAATGCGCCCGCCAGGTGCTCGGGGCTGGCCAGGCCCCGGGCACATGGCGCGGCGCTTTCGGGGAGCGTCGGCCCCGGGCGCGCGGCGCTTGCGGGGGGAGGGGAAGCGCCGGCCCCAGGCACACAGC